CCAAACATCTATTGTTTTGTTGTCTTCTTTCTCCCTCTCCTCGACTCGATATGTATTATTCAAATTCATTGCGTATTTTACGGCCGACGCTGCATTAAAAATTGATTCTGCTCATAAATTTACAAGTGACGAAAAACAACACTTGATACTTAATTAATAACATTAGTCAATTATTCACTAACACTGCATCAGAAATGTGAATTCGCAAGTTGTGGTCGGCGACTTTTGGCCGTTTTAAATTGCTAGCTGTATCTGAGGAGCCGTTTAGCTTTAAAGGTTCGTTAGCATGGTATTAAGCCAGCTAGGGATAATCCTAAGAATGCAAGCCAATTTTTCGGGAACTTCGAATCAAATATCAAAAGATTGAATGTTTATTGAATTTCACTTTTAACAGTGGACAACGTGAATTTCATTTTTAACAGTGGAGAACGTTCTTGAAGTAATTTTCTTCTAAGACACCTGACTACTACGTACATAAACCTTCTCTAATATCACGTGCCAACCTTCTGGGCTTCGTGCCACTCTTGGTTTGGCTACGGTAGCAGATGTTTTCACCTTCGTATCCACGCGGCAGCATCGATTCCGTATACGTACAGCCTACGTAATGCACTCCAAGCCGGCAATCTCAATCTTAATTAGCGCACTTTTACATCTTTTCAACTCTAGCCTTCTAATCCGGCTTTAGCAGTTTCAGTTCAACAACTCGCTGTTTGGCTCCTTCGATGATCCTCTGTTTCAAGCACGAGCTGCTCAAGCAGCCCTAGCTGACATGGATGTGAAGGTGAACATCACAAATCCACTGATGCGACCGCACGACATGTTCAGGTGGGTGTTGATACTGAAAATCTTCTGATGAAATTTACCTAACCTTCTTCAGTAACTACTTGATGAGCTCGCAAGATCCAACCAACATCTATCACGGCTTACCTGCCACTTCAGAAGGATTTGATGCTTCCGTCCTGGTGCCGACGTCATCCGAACAGGACCAAATGACACCCCTGCAACAGGTTTGACTCAGTCAAACTTCCCTTCTTTCTGTCTCGTTTGAAAACGTCTATTTTTAGGTGATGGCGATGCAAAACTACGGTGCATCCTCGCATTTTCCCCAATATCCAATGGCATCATCATTCCCATCAGCTATTCCCCCGCAAGTGGCTCGTTATCCCCTTGCAGCGCCGACAGCAGGTAAGAATGAAAAATGAATATCTGCGCTGAATTTTAGAAGTTCATTTCCGCAAAGCTGTAGCTATTAATAGGATTTTGCAGAAGTTGACACCGATCCGAGAGAATTGGAACGATTTGCAGAACATTTCAAGCAGAGACGTATCAAACTGGGTGTTACGCAGGTAAAAATCTCTAGAAATATATAACTCTTGGAAACACATTTAGCCATTACAATCTGTGCAATATCGTTCGGGAAACCCATGAGAATATAATATTTCTTGGATTTTAACATAGCAGTGAAGGTAGAAGCATTCGTAATTGAAAATGCTAGTTGAATAAGGTTCCTACAGAACATTTTTTTTGGGAGAGCAAGATCTATCGGTTTTCTTCACTTTTGCTGACTAAGAAATTTTTTCTAAACTATCCATTTTTTCGCCTTCTCTACTTTCCCAATCAAACAGTCAGCCTACATCTCCTCATAATTGAAAACACAGACGTTTGCTATCGGAGTATCTTCTAGGCGGATGTTGGTAAAGCCCTTGCTCACCTTAAGATGCCAGGAGTTGGCTCGTTATCGCAATCTACGATATGTCGCTTTGAGTCGCTCACACTTTCTCATAACAATATGGTTGCATTGAAGCCAATTCTGCACAGTTGGCTGGAGAAGGTCGGAT